TTTTTTTTTATAATAAAAGTTTTCGTAAAAAAGTATTTTATGTATTTTATTTTTATATTTATATAACTAATCATTAAATGTTATTACGTTTCCTACATATAAAATATTTAGGTAAGGTCTGTAATCCCGTGACGTGATGTTCCTCAGTCCCGCAGGATAATTAACTATTTTCACCCTCGTGAGACCCAGTACATTGAAATTTAGAGAAACTAAGATTTTTTTAGTTTAGTGCAACTAAATCACGTCTCAAAATCTATTGAAGATTTGTTCTAGACAATCTTGTCCGGCTTTATCATTTTTCTAAAGGTATTTAAAAATCCTACGCGGATATCAATCCCTACGCAAGAACTGGTACAGTCTAACACACTGATTCATTTAAGAACGTATTTATTTAATCAAAAGCAAAAAATGTATGTTAATTAAACAAAATATAGTATTCATCCCAGCGAACAATAAATAAATGTGGTAGGGAGAGATAAGCACCTAAGCACGTACCAGTTGGTAGGGATACAAGGTGTGGTAATTAAGTTCCAGGAATTTCAAAATAAAACAAAAGTGAAATAAGGGCCCGGGAATTCTAGGAGTCAAAGGCCTTTAAAGAATANAAATGGCTTGGCGGTAAGAGATTTGCGGACAATGAAGAAGTAATCGAAGCTGTAAATGGTTATTTTGAGGAGCTTGACGAATCAGTCTATAGAGATGGCATTAATAGACTGGAACACCGCTATGAGAAATGTATCAGCCTTGGAGATTATGTTGAGAAATAAAAAAAAAAAATTTTTAAAAACCTTGTTTTTCTTGGTCAGGCCGGAAACTTATCAATCCACCCTCGTAATCAAAAGTTTATCGTTAAGAAGTAACGTTTTTAAAAATTTACTTGTATATTAAGATAAAAAATAAAAACGTCCAAATATTTATATATTATATCGTATATCTTTAGATTATTGCATTGACAGTAGTCGGAAATTCTTACAACAGACACTGACAAATTGCAGAGCGTCTTGCATTTTTATTTATATGTAATTGTTATATACGCTTTACACTCTCATATTTTAATAATATTGTATATTCCTGTAGCAGAAATAAATTATTTTCTAAATTAAGAGTTGATTTCTTTCAATAGAGAGGCTTTAAAAAACTCATGAAGACTTACGCAAAAAATATAAGATCGAGGCCCATGTAAATGAGATAATACGTAATGTTTTTCTTCCTTGTTTTTAGGGATGGTATCATATGTACAATACGCGTACCGGCTTTATGAACCCACCTTGTTTGCTTTCTCTTCCAGGTGATGAAGATTATCATTTCCGGGGTTATAGGATTAAAAAGCTTATGTTTAAATATAAAGATAGGAGACGAAAAATTAGAAGAAGTGACTGATTTTAGATATCTAGAAAGTCAGATAAGTCAGGACGGAACGAGTAGTAGGGATATAAAGCAGAGGATAGCGCAGGGTCGTGTCGCCTTTAATAAAAAGAATTCACTTCTATGCTCGCAAACGGTTAATTCAGAAATTCGAAAAGGGTTGTTAAAGGCGTGTGTGGAGCGCGGCGTTGTAAGGGTGCAAAACATGGACAGTGGGCGCGGCGGAAAAGAAAAGGTTAGAAGCCTTCGAAATGTGGTGTTATAGGCGAATGATGAGGATATCGTGGGTAGAAAAGGTTAGAAATGAAGAGGTATTGGAAAGAATAGGCGAACAGAGGTCTTTCTGGAAGTCAATAAAAAATATGCGAGATAGGTTGGTAGGACACCTTCTCAGACATGAAGGTCTAGTCAGAGACATATTCGAAGCAGAAACAGGAGTTAGGAGGGGTAGAGGTAGACCTAGGTTAAGCTACTGTTCGCAAATAGTTAAGGATGTGGGATGTTTTAGATTTAGGGATCCGGTGGGATTGACTTTTAGTTGATAAATTATAGTGAAAATGCGACAGATGAATAACTTTTCATTAAAAAAAAAACACTTTTTTAAACTACTGTTTTCAAGCGATTTATTTACAATCCGGTTTTACTCTTCAGAGTTACGTTAAGATGTATTTTTAAAATAATTTACTCAATTTTCTATTCAAACTCGACTGAGCAATTACTAAAGACAATGTACCTATCTCTCTCACTTCACATACCTTAAACAAGGTTTCTCCACGCCGAAACCTCATTTTAACCTAATGATTTTGTCGGTGATCGTTTATAACTATACGCTCTACGACACTATCTTTGAATAATGGTTACTTAATATCAGAAACCTTATTGATTGAATTACCAAAGCAAAACCGAAGAAGTAATATTTCGATACTCAGTAACAACTTATTTATTGAAGCATACCTTAGCGGTACCTATTTATATAAAATATTTACTTTTCTTCTTATTTTTCATCGCCATTTTCCTTTCTAAAGTGAGGGTTTTCTATTAATTAAGGCAACATATTGAGTACCATAACTGTAAATTTATTTACACCAAACCACTACAATATCGAACATGAAATAGTGCTTTGAATATTTTTACCAACCAATCCTAGCTTCAACAGCAGGAGCTGGTGACCATGGTACATGTCCGGTTTGAGCAATGACGCCTACAGCTGATCCCGATGTTTCGATTCTACCTGAGGGTCCGTCAATCAGGGTACCAGTTGGGACTGGTCCTGCATACGCTGTTGAAACTAGGTGTGGATCAACTACGGGGCCTGCAGCGTAAGCTACTGGGGCTGGTGGTGGAGGAATTACAGCTGGAGCAGCATAGGCAACTGGTACAGGTGCTGGTGGTGGAGGAAGGTAAGCTCGGGTAGCAACAGCAACTGGCGCGGTAGGTGGATGGTGAACTGTTGATGCAGAATAGGAAATGGATGCTGGGACGGGTGGCGGAAGTACAGCTGGAGCTGCATAGGCAACTGGTGCAGGTGCTGGTGGCGGAGGAAGGTAAGCTCGTGTAGCAACAGCAACTGGTGCGGGAGGTGGATGGTGAACTGTTGATGCAGAATAGGAAATGGATGCTGGAACGGGTGGAGGAAGTGCAGCTGAAGCTGTATATGCTACTGGTGCAGGTGGTGGAGGAAATACAGCAGCTGGAGCAGCGTAAGCAACAGCAGCTTTGGAACCTATTTCTACTGCGCCTGAGTCTTCTACGGAGGAGATGCTGCTACCGTCCGGTCCGACTGAAACGGAAGAAAAAGAAGGCCCTTTAAGAACGGCGCCCCCTTCATACGGAAGGGCAGCAAGCGGCGCAGGGGCGTGATGAATTACAGATGCAGATGCCATGGCAAATGCCAAGCAAAATACCGCTAGCTGCAAAAGAAAGTGTAGTTTTAGAAGTTGTATAATAAACCTTTTGTTGAATTATTAAATTTTAGAAATTACATGAACAATACAACACAATAATTGACTTTATCTTTCGACATTTTAGAAGTCATTAAGTCAACTTAAGTAGTCAAGGAATTAGAACCTAACAGTCACAACAATGTGAAACACCACTAAAGCCTTAACCAAATTATTCTACGTGCATTTGTTAAAGTATGAAATAAAATGAATAATTAATTCTTATTTGAGGTGAAAATAAGTATATAGTATGTTACCAATGAGTTCATGTTGTTTGCACTTTTGAAGCTGCTACAAACTGCAATGGTTAAATTTGGAGTATTGCGTATTTATAGTTATGTTAAAATCATTAACCTTCAAAATCAATTTCAAATGTCACATAAAGTTGAAGAATGTCACCGTACGAGATCTGCTCCAAATTCTTCCTGTACACACCGTTGTAGGTGTTATCCTTGCGAAACATGCAACCAGTTGGTCCAGTTGGTGCAATTACCATATGAAAAAACTACTTGTACATTTCAATAAATTAAATTTTTATATCTAATATCAAATTTTCAAAATTTCATCTTATCATATAAATACAATATCACTTTTTACTTACGTTCTCAAACGATTGACATCCAATAGATATATAGTGTATTAATTTCGTTAAAATAATAGTTTTTGTGGAATTGGTAGTTACACTTTATAATTAATTTTAAATACTACAGTGTAAAATTAAGGTTGTTTAAATCCTTCGCTATAAATATTCACATACTTATTTTCAAACTTTTTTAGAATTCTAATTTATTATATTAATGACTAAGGACTTGAGACCAATTTAAATAGATCTTTTCCATCTCATACAAAAAAAACTCAGCATAATTAATGAGTTTAGGTGTTTTACGTTTGTGTAATACTTATTCAAAAGTTCTAACATACATTTGAAACTTTTATTAATTTTGTAGTCATCGTTGACTGACCATTATTACAGTAATACAGTAGAACCTCTTTAAGTCGAACCTCAATTAGTCGAAAATCTCCAAAACTCGAAAAAATGTTTTGTTCCCTTACCTTCAGCCCCATAACCTCCATTATTCGAAATCTCAACCCTCTATTAGTCGAAATAATTAGTGAATCCCTGCAAGCCATTTTGGTACATATTTACCCTCTTTAACTCGAAATATTTTTTATGTTACAACTTTTACAACTCGATAATTTGAGTCAAAATCCTCTATAAGTATAATAAAAGAGAGATCAGATTTTGAAAAAGCTAAATAAGCATATTCACAGTAAATTAAATTAAAAAACTACTTTTCTCGTTTCTCTTAATTTATCATAGTTGAGTTACATTTATCGAACAATTACATCATACATAATGAATTAAGATCTGTTAAACTAATACCCAATTTATTTCATAGCCCACTCTCACAGCTATAAACTAAATAATTTTTACAAGGTGTCCATTTGTGTGATATCAAAATTAGATGAAAACAGTTTTTCTCATGTGCAATGTATTTACTTTAGAAAACCCAACGTGAAATAAATGTCAAATTATACTAGTTTTTCTATAATGATTTATACATATACAAAGAACCTTGAATTCCCACAACGAAAATTTATTTTCATTTGGAACGGTAGTATCAAGGGAAAGGTGTAAATTGGAATTCATCAAATGTCAACGAACGCTGATGCAAATCTTTTGTAGATCATTAATTCTAGATAATCAATGTTTACCGGAAGTCTTCATTTTCGGCGATGTCATTGGATATCTTTTAAGGATTCATTTTAATTTTTCTAGCAAAAATTTTGACACTCTATTAGATTTAGAATTACATCTTCCTGTTGCCTTATTGAAATAAGGGATTCTCTGGTTCAGTTAATAATGTAAATTGCGTCTACAATGTTCAAGTTTTGCTTTCCTCTTGTTGTTTAATACTATATATATATATATATAAATAGATACAGACATGTCACTATTACAAAGCGCTTTTTTATTAGAACAAAAATCTTGGTATTTTTGTGTACCAGAATCGATTACGAATTATCGCATAAAAACAGCAGTTGATGAATATACGAATGCTCTTCGAATTTCTCAAGCAGTTTCACCTACAGGCGTTTTTACACGAAATTATGAAGGAAGCCCATTTTTATCATATTTCCGAATTACTAATATATGTTGGAAAAACCAATTGTAGCAGATATTGGAGAGCGGACCGTCTCCCAGTATTCCCCTATTATCTAGGGGTTTGGTAGCAGAAACCGACTAGTTTTAGATGTAGCATAAATACTATCTACAAATTCTATAGTCCTTATAACAATCCAAGCAACGTGAAGGCGATACAAATATATCACAGAAGTTCAATTATATCATTTGCCTTTACCAAAGCTTACAGTTTTATCGGGTTCAGACGCCTGCATCTTTCACCAATAATGAGTACACTCGAAACAACATTTAATTGAAATCTATTTAAAAGGTTTACTTCTTATATAAGCCAGTATAAAATAAAAACAAAACGTGTTTTCTTTAGTGTTTTATTCAGATGAGGTATGTATTATACATATATAAATTATCCTTTATAATCAAAAGAAAGTAATTCACCATCCAATCCTGGCTTCCACAACAGCAGGTGCTGGAGCCCAAGGAGCATGAGCAGTGCCTGCAATAACTCCAACAGGAGAACCTGCAGTTGCTATTTGTCCGGAGGGACCATTAATGAGAGTTCCAGTTAGAACTGGTGCAGCATATGCAACTGGGGCAGGGGGTGGAGCAAGTACAGCTGGTGCAGCATAAGCTACTGGCGCAGGAGGTGGGGGAAGTACAGCAGGTGCAGCATAAGCTACTGGTGCAGGTGGTGGAGCAACTACAGCGGGTGCAGCATAAACTACTGGTGCAGGAGCTGGTGGGAGTGCCGCAGATACAGCGTAACCATGAGCGATTCCAACAGCCCCAGAATCTTCTACAGTGGAAATGCTGCTACCATCAGGTCCAACAGAAACGGAGGAGGAAATAGGACCCTTAAGTAATGCNTTTTTATTAGAACAAAAATCTTGGTATTTTTGTGTACCAGAATCGATTACGAATTATCGCATAAAAACAGCAGTTGATGAATATACGAATGCTCTTCGAATTTCTCAAGCAGTTTCACCTACAGGCGTTTTTACACGAAATTATGAAGGAAGCCCATTTTTATCATATTTCCAAATTACTAACACGAGTTGGAAAAACCAATTTAAGCAGATATTGAGGAGCGGAGCGTCTCCCGGTATTACCCTTTTATCTAGGGGTTTGGTAGAATAAACCGATTATTATTAGATGTAGCATAAATACTATCTACAAATTCTATAGTTCTCATTACTTTCATAAATCTGACATAACCTTGGGAAGGAAGTCTATTTTATACAACAATGAGCAATCCAGGCAACGTGAAGGCGATGCAAATATATCACAAAAGTTTAATTATATCATTTGCCTTTGCCAACGCTTACAGTTTTTATCGACTTCAGACGCCTGCATCTTTCAAATAAATGTTGCACTATAGTGAATTTCACCAACAATGAGTACACTTGAAACAACATTTAATTGAAATCTACTTAAAAGGTTTACTTCTTATATTAGCCAATATAAAATAAAAACAAAACGCATCTTCTTTAATGTTTTATTCAGATGAGGTATGAATTATACATATATAAATTAGCTTTTATGATCAGAAGAAATTAATTCACCATCCAATCCTGGCTTCTACAACAGCAGGTGCTGGAGCCCAAGGAGCGTGAGCAGTGCCAGCAATAACTCCAACAGGAGAACCTGCAGTTGCTATTTGTCCGGAGGGACCATTAATGAGAGTTCCAGTTAGAACTGGTGCAGCATATGCAACTGGGGCAGGGGGTGGAGCAAGTACAGCTGGTGCAGCATAAGCTACTGGCGCAGGAGGTGGGGGAAGTACAGCAGGTGCAGCATAAGCTACTGGTGCAGGTGGTGGAGCAACTACAGCGGGTGCAGCATAAACTACTGGTGCAGGAGCTGGTGGGAGTGCCGCAGATACAGCATAACCATGAGCGATTCCAACAGCCCCAGAATCTTCTACAGTGGAAATGCTGCTACCATCAGGTCCAACAGAAACGGAGGAAGAAATAGGACCCTTAAGTAATGCACCTCCATCAACTGGAAAAGCTGCTAATGGGGCAGGAACAGGTAAAACTGAAGCCGAGGCAACAGCAATTACCAAACAAAAAAAAACTAAAATCTACAAATGCATTTCGAAAATTAATTGTTAGAATAATATCAAATGAAAAACAAATTATTGAAGAAAATTAATAAAAACGATAATTACCTTAAGGCACATCGTGTTCTGTGTGTTCAATCTGCAACAAGAAACTGCAATGATACCAATTTGGCAATGCCCAAATTTATACTACCAACTCGGTCCATTAACCTTCAAAACTCATACATACATTTATCTTGTTAATTATTTCAAAAACTTGAAGTCTCGCCCATATTGTACATTCTTCCTGCTCTCAAAATATGGTTGATAATGTCAACCAGTTGCTTGCTTATTGTTTATATCATTAGTTGATCCTGGACTTCTTTCAAGTAAAAATGAACTGCAGTTGTTAGTCGTTGATTGGAAAGAACGTACGTAAATTAGTTATTTTGCAATGTTGTTTCTATACGATGATTTCTACTTTGATTCTCATTTGTGGAACAGTGATTAATAATAATACAATTAAGCGATAAATACATGGAACTGAATTTGATAAAAGTGATGTAAAATAAATCTATTCATATGTGTCTAAATCAGTATTTTTCTTAATCTTCGATTTCCTGCTTAAGGTCGTTTGGAAGGTACAATCGGAGACAAGAGTACATAAAATTAGAAATTCGTGATTAATTAGGTTTTGCCGCATATCATGAGGTAAATAAATACTATCTATACTAAAAAATATATACGGTTTGAGAGAGAATTTGGAAATAACGAATAATATGGAAAATTTTTAACTGACTTTTGGCAGTGAATATCCCTTTTTTGATATGTCTAAATAATAATTAAAACTTTAAAATTGCATTTATTTCAGACAATTATAAATATTATCATTATATTATTAAGTAAAAACGAGATTTTCAGCTAATTTTTCATTTTTTCCTCGATAACCATTTAGTGAATTTGAATAACCTTACGCTAAAGTGATTCTCCAGAGTTCAAGTTACTTATTATAAAAGTTTGAAATTTCTGGTAGCTTTTTTTCTGTTAATAAAAATAAATTTAATCTGTTCGGTT